CTGAGTACATGTGGAGCCATCTGTAGGTAGCAAAATTCACCAAAACCAACAGGGGACAGAACATAAATCCGTGGCGAATGGGTTAAAAAATATTATAAAAGTCATAATGTTTATAATAAAAATTTGAACTATTCCAGCAATGCTGTTATCTTATGTGAATAACTACAACCATGAACATCAATGCCAACTATTCAGTTGTTTTATTAAGAAAGATATTTTATTATAAGCATCTAATTTTTAATTACCTATTTACCTTTAGTAACTTACTCACTTCTTTCTTCTCCCTGTCTACCTTTACTTTATATTCCCTTCCTTCTGTCTTTACCTTTATCGTAGCTTTCCAATATGCAGAGTAAGGAGCATTCATCAAGCGGTCGTAGATCTCCACCTCTGTACCTTCTGGATATTCAACGGGCGAAGGACCCCCAGGGGGAGGTAATCTGACACCTGTCATGGCTACACGGGTCTCCTGGCACCAGTCCCCCTCGTAGCGCACTAGGACCTCATCTCCTATCATGTCCATCACAGTTGCCTGCAAGCAGAGAGGAGTGATCATAGGGTAATAATAATAATAATAATAAAAGATAATAATAATAAAAAAATAATAATTATAATAATATTAATAACAATAGCAGAAATACTAATCCTAATTACAATAATAATAACATTAACAACAACAACAATAATAATAATAATAACAACAACAACAATATTAACCCATTGCCGCCGGGGATGGCATGTACGTACATGCCATGCCCACTGCGAGTCGATTGTTTTTACACATAGATGGCTACACTTATACTAAGTATCCAATGAGCCAATTACCAGTACTGCCTGTCTCGCCCGTTCACGCTTTTCATCGATTTACCTAATTTGCTGTTAAAAATAACACCATCTATATTTATAGCACTAGTAAAAATACGTTTTTTCCCGCCAATTCAAGGAAAGGTGAAATCAGGACTAGCAGAGCCATCTAAAATAAAAAAATGAGTACTGCATTTCTCCCATTTTTTGTTCATTTTCCCAGGCGGCAATGGGTTAATATAGTCACACTCTGCAATAAATGAATGATAGGTAACATCATAAGCAAAGCTATAAAGAATATTTATGACTGATGACACCCATCTTGAGTTACACAGAACATATATGTATTTACTTATGTAACTACTCTACTATACTTTCCACAATTACTTAGGGAAAAAATTTCCTCTTGAAGTTATGGTTACTAACTCTATAGAGTTATGGACATTATGGACACAAGGAAAAAATTATGAAAAGGAGAGCAAAGCAAAGCAAAGCAAAGAAATATATATATATCATATATGTATATATATTACTTGTGTGTGTGTGTGTGTGGGGAGGGGGAGTGAGAGGGAGAGGGGGAGGGAGAGGGGGAGGGAGGGAAGGAGGGAGGGAGGGAGGGGGAGGGAGGGGGAGAGAGGGAAGGAGGGAGGGAGGGAGGGAGAGAGAGAGAGAGAGAGAGAGAGAGAGAGAGAGAGAGAGAGAGAGAGAGAGAGAGAGAGAGAGAGAGAGAGAGAGAGGGAGAGAGAGAGGGAGGGAGGGAGGGAGGGAGGGAGGGAGGGAGGGAGGGAGAGAGGGAGGGAGGGAGAGAGAGAGAGAGAGAGAGAGAGAGAGAGAGAGAGAGAGAGAGAGAGAGAGAGAGAGAGAGAGAGAGAGAGAGAGAGAGAGAGATCCCAGAATGAAAATGTGTCAGCTTAAAATGTGAGATATTTCTAATTTTCTGAGTAGTCTATTTGCAACTTATGTAAAATCTTCAACAAACAAATGCTGTAGAAAACTAACCCTTTGGAGGCCCTGATAACAAAAAAGGAAGTCTGAAAGTTTGTTTAATATGCTTTAAATATCATCAATTCTCGGAATGATGTATATTTCTCCAAAAGTTGGGAAAATTACACAAACTAGCTGGGAAATGAATTACAGATAGACTGACAAAAAGTAAAAATAAGCAAACAAACAAATATATGAGATAGTATGATATAAGATACACATCCTTCCAGAAGTGAATGAAAGTTTGTTTTTAAAAATCCTTTAGTGAAAACATTTCCATGAAAATAAATGACTGAAATATTTGAATTGGTACTGTGTGACCTAACACACTGATTACTACAGCTGTTAAAGCCAAGTCATTTCTAAAAAAATACAAGATTCATATTTCTATGGCTTAACCTATTGCATTCTGGTGATGTGACCATCATGTCTTGAAAATTTGGCTAAAAGCTGGAGTGACAGGAATGACAGAATAGGTGATTAGACACTGTGGGTCTTTAGGAAGGGGCTCTAGCATTTTTTCCATCAGTAAATAAGTGTAGAATGTACTATATCTGAGCCATGACTGGAAGAGTACTGGTTCCACTACTTCCACGCTCAAAATCCTCTTCCTGACTACAAAATGTTACTTATTGTTATTGCATGGAGTTAGAGTCTAGCCTGTCTGTGCAAGGAATACAGTACATTACCATCTCAATACAGCAGATCAAATGACAGATACAATGGCAAAAAAAAAAAAAAAAAAAAAAAAAAAAAAAAAAAAAGTCTTAAAAAATGTTAAGTGAAGCATCAACTTTTAATTCTAATATGATAAACTCAACCATATGATAATTATTTTACACAGGATACTGTTGCTATTTTGATTTGATGCAAATTACCAAACAATCCTATGCCAAAGAAAGAAATAGACTACAAATGCTAATCCAGACAGGAAAGCTCCAATTAATGTTAATATTCATTCAAAACTGATGTAGCTAACCCTCTCTCACTTGGGTTCATACATTCACAATTTACCCTAAATTTGCAAATAAACATGTTCCTAGTCTCTGGTAACTAGTTAATAACATTAAAAGTGTGCATAATAAAAAGTCATATGCCATTTAACTATCTCATGAGGCAACAATAAATGCAACTTTTATGGTGCAACTTTTAACTGATTCTGCTTGGGGATGGAGTTTAGGGGGGAAGGGCAATAGCCACTCCCCTTCTTTAACCCAATGGCGCCGGGTGTACAAAAGAAAAAAAAAACTCTACGCTTAAACAAACAAAGGCGGCGTGCCGACTTTGAGCGCGTGAGTAGGGGACATCAGCCCGAATCACTGGCTCGCCGCCGGCTCGTTCGGCTGCACGCCAGCTTTCGAGCTCTTTGTGTACACGCCGATCAGCGTCACCTGGCACCAAGGGGTTAAATACTGTTTCCTAAAATATTTATTCATATGAATATCATTTGGTTTAGAAATAAAATCATTGCCAATTATGAATCATTCTTGTTTAGAATAAACACAAATTAAATACTTAATTCATTGTTGTTATCATACAAATAACAATTTTTTTTTGTATTAATATGAATTTCAATTCTGACACTTCCCTATAGAACTTTCACCATGAATCTACACAGCCAAGTCTTCACTTCTAAGAAACAGACATTGATACTATATATATGCATAAGGGGATTTTTTTCAAACTCCCAAATAGGAAACAAATAGGAATGAGAAAGACAGATAATATGAAAATAGTGAAGCATAATTAGAGCTTGTAATCTATGAAAGGAAAGAGGGAGAGGGAGCGTATTTCACCATGTATACGCAATGCAATCTCCTCACCAAATAATTCAATTATTTTTCAAATTTCGCATACGAGAGAATGCATAAAGATTTTTTTTACTGTAACTGCCCTGGATAACTGTATTTACTAGCTAGTTAATCTTTATAGTATGGATGTAATAAGCTAGGGCAAATTGAAGATGTTATTCTTGTACAGGGCACAAAATTCCACAAATGAAGGAAAAAGATTGCGAAAATCACTGCTCACTGCAAACGGTGCTCCCGAGTTTCAGGCCTATCTTGCTGTGCATACCAAGGTGAAGACAATGTTTCCCAGGGTGGTGCTGGAGGACAGAGCCCCACATCAACCCTCCCCTCAGGCATTGCCTGAAGGCCAGGCGCAGTCACAGCAACTTAGATTGTAGAATAGACTTTGTGACAGAGTTGGGGACTTAGTCTCTGGCAAGTGTATTCATACTGTAATGAATTACCTAACCATTTTATCTGAACTGTATACTTGATTCTGCCTCTTTTATGTTTCAATATAGTCTCTATTCCCACTACTGCCAGGTACACCAGGGTCAATTAGTAGGTCTGACTGACCTCACCTGATTTCCATATTCTTGTATTTGAAGATATATTTTTTTATACTATTGATATCAATACTATTATCATCATTTTAATTATTATTGGCATTATGGTTATTCTATGTTATTAACCCATTGCCAACGGGCATGCCATGCTATGCCCACTGTGAGATTAATTGTTGGATTGTTTTTACACATAGATGGCTACACTTGTACAAATTCACCAATGAGTCAGGTACGAGTACCGCCTGTCTCACCCGTTCACCCTTTTCTTTGATTTACGAAATATTTTACATTATCTTATTTTGCTGTTGCTAATGTTAAAAAAACATTATAAAAATTATAATATTTATAATAAAAATAACACCATCGATATTCTTGGCACTAGTGAAAAATACGTTTTTTCCGCCTTTTCAAATCAGGCGCTAACTAAGCCATCTATGGGCAGACATTTAACAAAAAAGTACAGAAAATAGGCACAGCATTTTCCCCATTTTTTGTTCATTTTCCCCGGCGACAAACATAAAATAAAAATAAAGTATTCTGAAAATCAAGAGAAAGGGTAAATAGATAAGATCAGGTGAGACTAGTAATTGAGTCCTTGGAGATTTAGCTTTGTGGAGCCATCTCAGTGTACACAGAGTCAATAAACTAAAATCACAGTGGACATGGCACACATGTATATGCAATCTGGGATTCAATGGGTAAAGATTAAACAATAAGTATATAAACAATAAAAAATAACTACCATTATGCTTTTCTTTAAGCCAAGATTCCTTGATTATAACTCTCTCAATTATGGTGTGAAATATGAACTCAGACATGCATTTACTTTATTAGAGATCTGGTTACAGGAAATGATTTGTAACATTTAGACAAAAATTTAATGTTGTTAATAACAATCCCTCCATATTTGTCCACTCATCTGCTATTTCATTATCAAATCTATTTGCTACATACTTTAATACAAAACATTGGATATTTAATGTAAATTTATATAATGGCCTTAAAAAATGCATTAAACAAAACTACTGTCTATGATATTGTACAAGTGGACCACACTGGCTAGGGAGAAATGACGACCAGAAGGGTGTCTGGGGTTCTGGAATGTTTTTTTTTGTTTTCTTTTTGTTCATGCAGTGGTCTTTGTGGTAGCATGCAAGTAAGGATAGCATTAATTTATTTATGCATTCACACAATGCCAGTTTAAGACTGATCAAATCTTGGCTGGGATTTATCTAATTTCCACTTATCTATTTTTTCAAAAAGCCTGTTATAAGTGAATTTGCCCACATCCCTGCCGCAACTAAACCCAGCTCCTTATGGCATCCCCCGAGGTTGTTGCGTCACTTGGGGACAAGGTTTCTTATGGGTGTGGTAATCGAATATACTTTTACCTGGACATGATCTATAATATACTGGATGCAAGATTAAAGCCACAATCTCTCACCAAAATTTGCAGATCTGTGCTCATGTGGCCAAGTCCACACACAGTTCTTGTGGCTATGTTCCAATGCTTCTATTCAAGGTAAAAGCTTAAAGCAAAACTGTTATCTCACTAATTCTTTACAGCACAGCAGCACTCACCAGCCACTAAATCACTAACTCCATGTCACAAAATTAATTAAACAATCTATGCTGTCATGACCGGGTATGCCCTTTGGAAACTTCCCAAGAGCAGGGTTGATGGGGGCTCTAGCCCCTAACACCCCCCCCATTTGTTAGTATGCAGTAAATTTCTTCTCTAATGAACATTAACGATAAACCAAGACCATGAATGTTCCTGCACATCTCAGATTATGATTATGAATATCATTTTAGCCAATAACCAATGAAGACTACATTTAAATCAAAAGGCTAGTTCTAGTTCTCAGATCATATTGGATTTACACTGATGTGAAGCCGAGGACATCGGCTGGGCATACAGTAGTTGCACCATTTGGGCGAGTAAAGTACACTAATACTAAATTTTAATTCTAATTAAAACGTTTCATTTTGCAGATACCAAAAATGTTTTATACAATTTGTCTTAACCCCAAAACCCCAACTTCCTTCCCCACCCAGGCCTACTGAGAGGGGAAAAGAGAGGGGGGGTGCTATCTCCAAAGGAAGATTTGCAAACAAAACAAACTTTGATACAATCACAAACTGAAAGCCAAGTTGTCACAAAAAACTAAATTTTCGTTTTTCCTTGCTGAAACCATGAGAGCCTAGCTTTCCATTTTCAAACTGAAATATAGCAATAATCAATCTAAAAATGCTTGGAAAGTACCTCTGCAATGCAAAGACTCCCCAAGAAGGTGTACTATGACTCTGCCTCTAGCTTAAGGGCTCAAACTATCCCTCCATAATACACATTCAACCTACTGCGTCCTCTGAAAGAACAATAACAACGACAACAACATTACCAATAATAATAATAATACCAGTGACATAAACAAAAAGGAAATAATACGAAATGACAAACATAAATTTACAAGGTTACTTCAACTGACACTTAACTAAAACTGTCATCACATATCAGATTTACCCGTGTCAAACCTCTGTGAACAGATAAGAATAATTACGAGACTATACTTCTAGCTGAACATCAAATAGTGGCTTATAAAGGCAATACAAAGCAAGGTCAGTGAAAAACTACCTTCTTGGGGGAAAGGGAATCGGAGGAAAAGAGACATCCGTCCAGGGCAAAACGGGCGAGCTGTAACTAGGTAAGGGAGCTGCAGACGACAATGTCTTTGGCAGCTCAGAATCTACCTTCAAAATTCCCTTCTCCTCTTTCTCCTTCTTTCTTCACTTCTTTACTTCTCCTTCTTTCCACTCATAGAATTAAGATTCTCAGCTCAAAATAACAAATAAAAAGTAAGTAAAGTAATTGATCAAATAAGTAAACCCCATCACACCAGACTAAAAGTTTAATAAGTTGTTTTCTCTTCTCCAATCCCTTGGTTTATCACCTTCTCCTCTCTTCCCTTCCTTCCCTCCACACACATGCCTCCTCCTCGACATCATCTCCCCTCCCTTCCACGTGCGAAGCTGGGGAATAAAACTAAGACACCAGTAAGCGTGAAATGAACAAACAAACAAAAACAAGTAGAAAAAAAAACATCATGTAAAAATTTTTGTTTACGTTTTGGTGTCCATCAGCTGGCCTGCACTCGTCCCCCCGGAGCCCAAAAAACTCAATTTCCCCGCCTAATACATATTTCACCCCTTCTCCCTCGTCCCAAAAGGGGTCGGAGGTTGTCCCTCTTCCCTTTCCTCCCCTTTTGGGTGCGGAAACCAGGTTCAAAAGCCTTTGGATACCTTATAATACGCCCCGTGAGGCCCGAGGACTTCTACATTGAGCTCGTCCATCTTGC